ATTAACTAAAAGTTAAGTCCCATGGATTTGTATTGTCATGGTAACTACTTGTTGAGCGGCAATACCAGGGGTTTTGGATGGATTTTATATATGTACTGTTATGGTGCCTCGGTATGAGCTTGAGCCTCAGGACCGATGGATAGGGAGCGTATATGCATCGGGATGTGTAGCTGGCTACGATGGTTGGAGGTGTACCCTGTTTAGGTATAGGTACATATGCCCACTTCGTGTGCGTTTTAGCATGTTACCTCTATTCAGGTTGAGACCGGCCTGTAGTCCAGTGAGAGTTCTTTAGTGTGAGAATATATATATGTACGGACTATTAGCTATTGTTGAATTGTTTAGGATGTACATGCGTATCAAGCCTCTGTTTGGATTGTAGTAGTATAGAACTTGCGCGTGGGCCTGACCCACTTTTATTTTTCAGGTACACAACAGTTCCAGGCTTAGACGTGTTCGTGCTGAGCAGAGGTCGCTATTCACTCTTCCGACGATGTAGGGCTCTCTCTATAGTTTTATTTCTGGACGTTTATTACAGTTGTTCTATTTTCCGTTTGGATGTTTAATAGGGGTCCACTAGAGATGGATTCCCAAGTTGTAAACTGATGGAGTTTTGGAGTTTGGGTTTGATGGATTTTAATAATTATAATATTTTACGGATTCTATTTTTAGTTCCTTCCAGCTTTAATTTCATTTCTTAATTTATTTTGTATTCTGTGTTCATTATAAAATATTAATTGTTTGATATTCCCTCGGGTTTGGGCCTGGGCCTGATCAACCCGTGTCTCGGATCCGAGGGGTATCACAGCGCACCAAGCATTTGGCCACTGTCAAACTTACGACCAGCGGGTCCTCATGAGGGATCTGAACACGCAACAAGTCTGTCGTGTCAAACTTTATCTGCGTCGATGCGCTCTGCTGGTGCAGAGTGTTTACACTGCCTATCATTCTCTTCATCCGTGCCTGACGAAGGCGTGTTCAAAACAATTCATCTGATTCCTCAGCAGGTTCTGGCCGACCGTGAATTGCATTAATTACTCGAACTGGTTGCGTGTTGTGAGAATTCGATTTCTGATTCTTCTTTACATGCTCCATTGGCCGGTTCTGCTCCACTGCTGGTCCTTGAATATAACTTGCGAACTCCCCTCTGGCTATCAGCATCTCTACCTGTCTCCTTAGGTTCCTGCATTCGTTAGTCTGGTGGCCAAAATCAGAATGAAATGCACAGTGTTTAGACTGATCCCTCTGTTCGAGAGGTTGCCTGATTGGTAAGGGAGGTCGGAACTTATCTTTATTTTCTTGGTACAGTCTTGCTAGGGTAACTTTCAATGGAGTAATCAGCTCTTCCTCTCTGGGCCTCTTCTCAGATTTCCACGAGGAGCGTTGCGGTTGGACCTGTTTTTGCCTGATCTTTGCTTTGGTCTTTTCTTCCGTGGATATAACGGATGTCTTCCGAGCATTTGCCGCCTCTTCTTCTTCCAAGCGTACAAATCCATCGACTCTTTCGTTGAGTTCATCCATAGTCCTCGGCGTGTTGACCACCAAACTTGTGTGGAACGGGGTGCCACGATTCATAGCCAGAATGAATGCTTGAACTGCTGTTGAAGGGTGGCATTCAATAACCATGCTCTTGGTAAGGTTAAACCTGGTTAGGAAAGCCTGGAGACGCTCTTCAGCATGTTGTTTCATTGTGAATAAGCTCGAAATATCTTTCGCTAGACGCTTGTTTCAATAGTATTGGCTTATGAACCGATCGCACAGGCTTCGGAAACTATCCACCGAACCCCTCGGCAGGTTCTTGAACCAATTCAGAGCTGGTCCGGCTAGACTCGTAGGAAAGCACTTGCACATCAAAGAATCATTCTCAGTGTTTAGAGCCATTTTCAGCTGGATGTGATACACATGATCGATCGGATCAGTCGTTCCATCGAATAGAATGAAAACGGGCATGGAAAATTTCCTCGGACTCGGAGCATTCAGAATTTCATCGGTGAACGGTGAATCCACCGTTCGAGCTGCTGAACGGAGTGCTTCATTCTCCCTCTGGAATCCCGCGACTGCTCTCTGGTCTACTGATCTCCCCTCTGAACTGTGATAGTCGAACGTCGTCATGGAAGGCCGGTAGGTCGGATCGAATGATCTATCCTCAACAAAGTCCTTGCGTCATGGAGGCATAGCTTTCTGACGAATCAACTCTGTTGCTTCACCTCGGCTGAGCGTTTCTTGATGTGGATCAAAAGTCATCACTTCGTTTCGCCTAATTTGCTCACGCCGTGGATCCATGTGAATCGATCCTTCACAATCATCCATACGACGAAGATTTGGCGGCAGACCGTCTCGCCGGATTTCCTCGCGGTGAGGATCAACTAGATTGTTTTCAACCTCTTCACCGTGACGTGCTGCATCGGTACGTGCACCTTTTTCGCCTACCGGAAGTGGTCGTGGAATTACTGGAGCTTCTTGACGTTGTATTTCATTCCTTAGATTTGCATTTTCTCTCCGGAGAGCTTCGATCATGTTCATCAACTCATCGAGTTTCACTTGTTGGATGTTCTCAACCGTATTAGAGTTGTCACCCCCTATCATGATTCCGGATCGAAGCAAAGGCATGAATTACGAACTTCGAAACAGATCTAAGCGTTACCGATGCAAACTCCGCTAGATCTGGGCTTAACTTTACCAAATCGTGATCGCTGTTTGCTAGATCTGAACTTTTCTAGCTTCAAACTTGTCGGATCTGACTGCAACTGAGCAAATCGCAATTGCGTCCTTCCAAAGCAAATGCCTCAGAATCCACAATAATCAAGAATTCTCTCGGAGCAAACTACAATCTCACTGATCTGGATTCAACTTCCAGAAGTCACACTGCATATTCACAAACTCGATTGAACTAATATGGTACTGATCAGGCTCGAATTGATCTTCGTCCTCGGTTCCCGCAGACGGCGCCAATTGAAGATACAATATTCCATTTCATCTCTCTCACTCTTACTTTCTCTTTCTCTCTCTTTCCTCCCTCTACTTTCCACCCATCATGGTCTATTTATAGGCCATGACCCTCTTTTGCAGTTAACCAATTACATTGGGCTTATAGCCCAAAGTTCTCTTCCTTCTGGGCTGGGTCTTGTAATGGGCTTGACCTTCCTCGGTGGACCCCCCACGTTCGGCCCACTCCAGGGTGCTTTGGCATGGATCTTTCTTCAATCATTCGACCCGATCTCGTTTCCGCGATCCATATCTGGCCCATGCCACTTGTCGCATCCTCACTTTTATTATCGATCTTTCATTTATTCTGCTTTTATCGATCCTAATCGGTGAGTTTTTTTTCAAAGTTTTAATTATTGTCTTTTATTATCGATCCTAAAAGTCCTCAGTAAAGTTTTAATTATTGCCTCTTGTTATCCTTTTTGATGAGTCCGTATAAGAATATACAAAGAGGGAGTCACCTTTTGGATATTCTTCTGTTTTTGAAGCCTCGTGGACTTAGAATTAAATATCGAGATTTGTATTTAATTATTAATCTAAAACAAAATGGTTTTTGGTGAAAAATTGAAGTTAACACATTGCTTCTTCGTGTTTTCAGAAACTTCCAAAACAACATTTTGTTGTTTTCACAAAACTGATACTCATTGAACTCAGTTTTATGATCAGTTTTATGAAAACAGTTTTCATAAAACAGATTCCAAAGTAGACTAAAAAATTAAAGAATTATTTTTTGTGACTCTCAAAACAGAAAACTGTTTTGGGAGAACCATTCTAAGCAGGGCCTAAACTTCTATGAATCTTATAAGGAGTACCAAAATGAGAATTTAACATGAACATTGTACTTTTTGATAAATGAGAGGGTTAAAAAAAATTAAAAGAAAATATTCAGGGATTTTTAAAAAAAAATGTAAATTCATGGGCTAGATATTGTTAAAGTCACAAATAGTTTGCGTATAGAATATTCCCTTAAAAAAAAAAAAAAAAAAATTGACCATCATAATTGGGTGATGAATAAACAAAAAGTACCACTTGACATTAATGATGGAAATTACATATAGTCATTTGACTCATTTCAAAGACAATACATACATGAATTCCTCTTACCATAAATTATTTACTCCAAAATACTGACAATGTTACATCTTCAACTAATAAACAGTAATTGTTTTCTATCATAAAAATATAGTGAGCTTTATTGTTATAATTCTTTCAAGGCATTTTTTTTTATTCTTTTATGTGTGTGTATTTTTGTATACCATACATGAATTTAGGTTGCACCCCATTTGTGGTGCCTCTAACAGAAAAGACTATTGACATAAATTCGCTTGAGAAAAAAATAAAAATAAAAACTGAAAACACTTATAAACACAATGAGTTTTTTTATAAAAAAAAATAATATATATATATATATATAAGGAGAATGAAAACACTTATAAACCAACAATTAATTCATCCTTAGCAGGTTCTCTGTTCCATTATAAAGTTTTCATGTTTTTGCTCCAATTTTAACATAACCATATTGCAGAAATACAATGGTGAATCATTCCTGTACTCTTCATCTTTAAAGAAAGGTAATCCATCACTTCAAGTTTAACAAATATTAGCAGAAATTTAGTCTATTCACTGTTATTGGCTGGCTTTGTCAACATTTGTCCTTTGTCACGCATGGTGAATTGAAGCATAGAATATGCAGTAATGTATAACATTTAAGCACTCTCAAATCATTGTTATTTCATGTTAATGGAATATGCAGCACGATTCGCTTGGAAAGGAATATGCCACACACATCATATTCACTAATGAAGTACCCAATCATATGTAGAACCAGAAAAAGAAGGAAAAAAAAAAAAATCAAGAACAACTGAAAGATCAAAGCACAAATCAGTCGAATTTGTTGCAATGGCTCAACATTTTTCGAATTATTATTAGCACTTAGCAGCATCAGAGATATTTATAGCAACAGATCTCTACCCCTTTTTATTTGTATCTCTCTCTCCAGCTTTAGGCTACAAGTCCTACTTTCCCAGATCACCTGCACCAGAAAAAGACTAATCACTTTAACATGTGTAATTGCATGAGTAAAGAGACATGGAGAACATTTTTTTTTTCAGTGAGGGAGGCCAAAGAGATGCATCTCTTGGTGACTAAAAAAAGGAGACAGACAGACAGACAAACACACACACACACACACACAGGGAGAGAGACGGAATTACATGGTTCAAAGTTGGTGGTACACTTCTCAGGAAGCTCCATGGCCATGCTCCGATCAACGCCAGAGATTGGAGGGCCGTTGACAAGGACACAAAGACAAGGCTGTCCTAGAGTTTTGATGGCATTGCAGCAGGCTTCGCTTGGTGGGATGGGGCTAAACGGAGCAACTGCTGCTCTACAAGGTATCAGCTGAACAAGTGCAGAGAAGAAAGTGCTACTACAAGGAACGCCATTGCCTTGCTCCACCAGACCTGCCATGACCACCATTAACAGCAATATAGGAAGCACCTTACTGTGAAAAAACTTCATATTTGAAATAGAATTTTTTCTTTCTAGGTTGCCTCTTGCTACAGAGAGTGTTTTCATGGATGGTTTACATATATATAGGAGTTGAAACTCATGCCAATGTGTGCTTCTTTCCAAGCCCTATACCACACTTGTTCATGCTATTTTTATGTTAGATCTGCCAATCAACTGATTTACACCATAGAAGATATTATAAAAACACAATTTGCATGCTGATGAAACAGTTCGTAAACTCAACTTTCATGACCATGCATCTCTAAAAACTAGTTTAAAATTACTCAATCCACTAAGATTACTGGATTATGAAAAGCCACCAACCAAATCCCATCAACCGGATCACTTCTCTAAGAAACTTGGCAGCTCAAGGTAGGATTAACAAGCCATTTCATCATATCAGACCATAAAAGCAAATATTGGTTCTGTTTAAAATTCACAAAGAGGTCAACTCAACCAGGTTGACGAATATGTGAGGAATAAAGAGATAACAACCACCCAATGCATTCTGCTTGGCACAATTGAAAGGATGGACGCTTGATGAACTGACGAAAGGAAAAAATAAAAACAAAAACCTCAGTTGATCACAACTCCAAGGTTGCATTTTATATTGTAAAATTTCATGAAAAATAAATGAATGGCACGGTTCCTGATATTTCGTTTGAGACCAAAAGGAAAAATTGAACACCATTTTGAAGTTCATGAAATAGAAGAACCCTTCTTTTGCACGCATTCATTTATATAAAACTAAAGCATCTGGCATTGCAAGCTTGCTTTCATAAATTCAGATGCATAAATTCTGATGGATGTTCAAGAAACACTCTAAATCGGCTTGTATGATAACTAAAGGCTCTCATCTAACAAGTGCCCACTGATCCTGATTTCAGGAGATGAACGGTGAAACAGTATTGTTTGGAACTTTTCATGAGATAACGGCACAAATTGGTGGATGCTTGCTGCTCAAAATGGAAAATGTTTTACGTCTTAAAAACTCCAAAAAATCAATATCATTGCAATTGGCAAACCAACAAAAAGCTCAAGGAAACAGTAAAATGCTCAACAATGGAACTCAAGTCAGCAAGTGAAAAAAACAGCCTTATTATAGGGATAAGGCCACAGGGGATGATGGAGAAAAATTTAGAACTCAAAAGACCAACAACCAAAATATATCATAATATGATAAACGTTTCATAAAAACCTTTTGTTTTGTGGTAACATACACAATCTCATTTAATATGTCCCACTACTTACTCTAAAAAGAGAGCTTCTTGAAGCCTCATGTCCTTCAACAAAGTGGTTCATTTTCATTCAAAATAATACAAAAGAGTCCCTAAACAAAAACTCTAATGATCATGATTAAAATTTAAACTCATCGAATCTTCATAACAGTTGGAATCCCATGCATATTCTATCATTTCAATGATCAAAATAACATGACTGGAAAACCTTGAATGTATTCTATCAGTTATTTGGTCAATGTGGAGATGAGTTGTTTTGCGTAGGAACTCCATTGAGTAATTTTATTTCATTTCTTATATGCCTTTACAATTTATTTTTCGACAAAAAAAATAGCTCATCAATTGGTTAACTAGCCCTTGCCCTCATAGTCGTTGAATGGAGAGGCTAGCTCACATCTTTAAGCACATAAACACCAGTCATTAATATGCTCTTACCTGCTTTCCTGTGTGAATGAGGAGACATCCCATTGGATCTTTTCAACCATTTTGGCCAATTTCTGAACAATTAGGAAGTTAAGGTCATAGTGGTATCCTACAAACACAGTGCCCTCCTGACCATGACATCAAGATTACTCCCTGTTGGAGTAAGCAGATGTAGTCCTGGGAGAGAGAAAGTAGTTGTTAAACAGTCATAAAGTTGAACAGCAAGGAACTCTTTATGGAGTCATGCATCGATTATATAAATCAAAGCCAAATATCATTTTTGCAAATTACTACCGGGTCAAAAAAATTTAAAATTTGGTAAATACTGAAATATTACCCATGAAACACAAACCAACAACGCACATTTTCAAATTGTATATCCTTATACACTAGAGTCTATTATCCCTAAAGAAATTATTAGAGTTCCTACTTAATGACAAAGATGGTAAATGCCAATTTACATGCAAAGTATCCATAAAGATAATAGCAGCCTTGACTTGTAAAAAATGAATGATATTGGCCCTTGTGTTACCACTGCGTATCCAATCTACAAATTGATAGATTTTCCTATCATTCCTGTTGTGTTTCTTTCCTATGAGCAGCTCGGAGAAATACAAAAGACCAATTGGGAAGTAATAACAATGCAAAATACTTATGAAAAAAATTAATAATAATAACTTGGCAAAATTACTTGTTCAACATCTAACAAATTTAAATGGTTACATCACAAAATCCTGAATTACCAGATAGTAGAAGGGACAAAGACAAGGAACTCTGTTCACTTTGGTAGATATGTTTGTCTCGTAAGGGAACAAAAGGAGAAGAAAAAAAAAAACATGGTTTGGCTGTCGGTTACAAAGAATCACAAAATAGATAAATCAAATCAAGCATTAGTGGCACTGCAAGGAAATACAGCAAGATATCGGTAAACCATTACTCACGGGAATTTCCTCTGCTAATCCCATAACGAATACGATATCAGTTTGCATGTTCCAAAACCAAGGAAGGAACATATATGAAAAGCAACAACTTTAGATTTCCAGTTCTGCATTAACTGAATAGGCCATTCATTGTCCTCATTTTGTTTGTTTCTCTCTACATTTTCTATTTATGGAACACAAGTAATAAGGAAAGAAACAGCGTTAACCTGCTTCATAAGAGAAGTGAATGTGTTCTTTGGCAAGCCAAACTCAATTGCTCCCATTTCTGAGCCAAAGCAAAAAATTACTCACAAATGACAAACCATACTCGTTGAAATACTTTACCTCTGTTTGCAGATAACATTTTATACCCCCATGTGTTCATGGTGTCTTTCCATTCAGCTAATCCCTCTGAACACAGTCCCTGCATGAGAGGAATGTTGAAGATGGAGTTGGGTTAGTGTACATAATATCATTTCTTCTCCTTTTTGGCACAAAATTAATGCCAAAAAGGTTACAATTACAAAATTAGCAAATTAAAATAGTTCTGAAGTTGATAATTGATCAGTTCTGTTTACAAAATGGAATTTTTGGTCTTTATTTTTATTTTCAATGAAAAAATTCTTCCTTGATCAAATGATCCGAATTACGAAACAATTAGCATAATCAGATACTTGCAGAAGAAACCTCACTCTGTAATTCAGAACTGTCACAAACACATTGATTTACCAATTACCACTCATAAACTTGCAAAGGAAACAAAAACCTTCAGCAAAGTGAAACAAACACCACAGTTTTTGCATCCCAATTAGCAGAAAAGAGGAAAAACAGATTAATACTGAACACCACTCTGAAATAAAACCACCCATTCGATATATCAAAAGAGAAAGAGCAAGTTTATCATTTAGGAATCAAACAAAGACTATTAAATTCATACAGTAATAAAAGTGGAATTGCAAATTTACATCAACTAGCATAGTAAATCAGACTAACATTTTCAATACTAATCCCAAGTAGCACCCATTGATCATCAAAGATCCACACTAAAACAAGCTCCAAGACCTATCTCAAGTACAAGATAACACTAAAACACAACTACAAAATAGAAATCAAAAACCTGAAAAAGCAAAATAAACAGTTATGTCACAAAAGAAATATTTCATTGAAAATTCAAACACTAACATTGCATTGATTCATGTTTCAACACTAACCCAAAAGTAGAACCCATTAACCATAAAACCCACCACAGATATACATCAATACTACCAATAAACCCTAACCCAAATACAAAACACAAACAACCCATAACCCAACACAGCTTGCCCTAAGCTCTCTCGCCGCGAATCCTCCTGGCCAGCTGAATATCCTTGGGCATGATGGTGACCCTCTTGGCATGAATGGCGCACAGATTGGTGTCCTCGAAAAGCCCCACCAGGTACGCCTCCGCCGCCTCCTGGAGGGCTGCGACGGCGCTACTCTGGAAACGGAGATCGGTCTTGAAGTCCTGTGCGATCTCACGGACCAATCGCTGGAAAGGAAGCTTTCGGATCAAGAGCTCGGTGCTCTTCTGGTACTTCCTGATCTCACGGAGCGCCACCGTCCCAGGGCGGAAACGGTGGGGCTTCTTCACTCCGCCTGTCGCCGGAGCAGATTTCCTGGCCGCCTTGGTCGCCAGTTGCTTCCTCGGGGCCTTGCCGCCGGTGGACTTGCGAGCTGTTTGTTTGGTACGAGCCATTAGATATGGAAAGAGTTGGGAGATGTACCGTTTTTAGAGAGAGAAAGTGTGATTTTGAGAGAGAGAGTCTGTGGTGGTGTGATGAGGAGAGGTTCTGAGGGCTATTATATATATACATAGTGGGGGGAAATGTAGGCGCGAGGATTTTAAGTTTTGGGTGGTTTCGAATTTTGGTGTTGTGGAATTTTTTTGGAGGTTGATTACGGACCGTTGATTGGGATAGTTATGGACGGTCAAGATTGGGTAGAGGATGAGTGCGTGGATCGCGATCCGTGTGTGTTACTTACAACCACTGATGTCTTTCCACGTCATCTTGAGAATTGCTTTTCACCCAATTATTGTTTTCCTCTTCCTTGACCAATAATCTGGAGCCTTGACCTTGAGCAAAGACTTAATTATGAAAAGTATCTTTATATATATATATATATAGTAGTGTGTGTGTATATATCTAAAACCAATCCTCCAAAATGAAAGATTTATTTTACTAATTTAGGTGAAATTATTTTGGAAAGGTTAAGCTATTCTTCTTGCGTTCAAGAAGAGGAATACGATATTCATATTAAGAAAAGAAAAAAAAATATCTAGAACATCATGAATACATGGAGTTTGAATCTACAAATACAATAAAATACACATACTACGATAAATTTCAAAAAATTTGAACAAAGGCACATAAAATATATGTCCAAAAGTAAAAAATATATATATATAATATTATAGATTAAAAATCAACTTTTATTCTTCAGCCATACAGGCAATTAAAGGAATCATAGGAAATATAAGTTGTGTCATTTATCTTTGCCATTTAGGATGCCCATCTATTTAACTGCAAGGCCCTGTGGTAGTGTTGTCCAACTGGTTAAAGGGTAAGGGTAAAACTGCTCCCCACCTTACCAATTCTAAGTTCGATTCCCCCCTCCGACTATTTATTAACCATTGCCAATTTGCGAAGATAAAAAAATTAAATTAAAAAATAAATAAAAAAAAACTATCAAGGATCATTACAAAACCATACTACCATACAGAGCCAATGCATACCTAAGGGGACACGTTTCCCAGCCCACCTCTATAATATATGTAGTAACTTTTTCTTTTTTTTCATGCATATGAAAAAATTTATACATTGCCCCCTAAATTTTTTAGGTTTTTTAGTTTCTTAAATTATCTCTTAATTGTTTCTTTATTTTCTCTTTTATTCTTCAAACTCCTTTAATTTATTTCAAAGAAAAAGTAAACCTTTCCTTTCTCAATAGAACTCTAACTTTTTCCTTTCAAAGTTCACTTATTTTTCTTTCTTTTTCTTTTTCTTCTTTTTAAAATTATTTTTTTCTAACAAGCATATTTGAATAATTTTCTTCTTCTTCTTTTACATTGTGTGTGTATATATATATTGCATTGTGCCGTCCCTGCATAGTCCCTGCATACCATAAGGTTCATAAAGCAATTATGCAAAACAGAATTAGTTAATTTTCATTTCTATCATTTTAGCAATCAAGCGTTTAAATCTGTATCCATTTTGAAAGAAGACAGACATGTTCTAAGCCATCACTAATTAAGAGTCCTTGTTAGATACGGTGATTACAATTGTGGGAAAAAAACGATGATCAAGTGTAGCAATACTCTAATATTAAAGGACCATAACAGAAACCAAAGTTTGATAGAACCATCACAAAATAAAATAAAATAAAATAAATAACCTATGACGCATGCATGGTTTGCCATTAAGAAAACAGTTATGAAAAATTTAGAAAATAAAAAATTATTTTAAGATAACTATAAAAGACACGTTTTTATAACTAAGCTTTCAGAAAAGTGAACCAAGCAGAATTTTTGTACAAAATTTTTATTTTTAATTTTCTAAAAACAAATAACTGTTTTCTGATTGAAAAATCAATTATAGAACCATCATGAAAACTATAAGTTCCACGAATACCGCAAAATATATCAAAAAGATGTACAAAAAAATAAATAAAAGTAAAAAATCTGATGCCAAATTCAATCACTTTCATGGACTCATCATCATTGTCACTATTCTCATTCGTAAATAATAGGCCTCCAACTTGGGTTCATCAAGGGAGAGATTTGCAATCTCAAGTATCATGTTACCTTTGAAGAAGTCAAATACATCCCCTTAAATATCCAACATCGTAGTCTCACCAACCCCATATTGTGGAGTTTTCCATTCACTGGGTTTCTGAACAATTAGCATTGTTGGAAAGATGAAATGGTGCGTAACTTGTTAAATCATGATGTTGCAGTTGTTTGAGTGTTTCCTAAGTTCATCAAAGTGCTTTATTTGAGGTGGATAAATCTTTAATTGAGGTGGAGCTACGAAGAGATCCTTCTTTGAGGTGGAGCTATGGTGGAGCACGTACATGAAGACATATTTTGATCATGTGTTGATTACGTAAAGAATTGGGGTGCTAAATGTTGCTGATTTTGGCTTACCTTTGGCTACTGCCAAAGTTGAACTGGCTCAAATGGGGCTGAACCTGATTAACTTGGACAGTGAGTTATTGGAAGCTGCGAGAAACATTTCTTAATCAGTTTTGGGAGACAGAAGACTTGGGGAAAAGGCTGAAACTTTTGGGAAGAAGTTGTACCTGCTATTTTATAGTTGAAGGCAGATGTGGTAACTCATTGTAAGCAAGTTGGGGAATATTTGTCCAACAAGGAATTGGTATTTTAGAGACTCTATAAATAGAGATGGGTATGAAAAGTTGACATGTGGTTGTATATTATCTTCCTTGATTCATAATAGTGAAAATCTCTGTCTCCGTAGACATAGCCCTAGAGTTGGGTGAACCATGTAAAATATTGTGTTTTGCGTGGATGTGTTTAATTGTTATCTCCATATGTGCTTGTGTTGATGTGATGTGATGATTTTTCGCAGTGTGTGATGAAGGGGGATTTAACTCTCAACAACAGCCAACCTTTGAGTGGGTTAGAAGGAGTTGATCGTGGGTTATAGCTTATGATTGGTTCTGTAGATTAGTAGTAGAAGATTGGTGCAAAGTTTGTCAGAGCAGAAGTTGATCGCAAGGTGTTATAGAGATTCAATCAGAGTTGGTGATGGCACAAAGAAGATTGATAGTGTGACACCCATAAAGAACAGGTATTGGGATAAGCCGGAGGATACTCGTTTTCAAGACGGGGCAAAAGTGATAGAGGTGAAGTGCATGAGGAACAAGTTTTAGGAACGAGCCAGAGAAGGTGTTAGTTATTAAGATGGGGCAAGGATGAATGGGTTTGCTCTAAGCCCAATAAAGAGCGAAGGGAAATATAAAGAGTGAAGAGGAAAGGTTTGTTGCTTTGAACCAGAAAAGCAATTGATGAAAATGGGTTGTATGATGCCACTCGATTCTAGAGTCACGGGTGATCAAGTTCGAGCACAGAATACAAGGGATATCAAACAATTAATATTTAAACAAGCATTTGAATACAAGATGAAGTAAGAATAAATAAAAATACTGAAAAGAAAACTAAATAAATAATAATTAAATAATCCCATAATAAAATCCTCTAATCCTCTTATGCCAGTAATTATTTAAACTACAATTTGGGAATCCATACTGTGGACCCCTAATAAAACAAATTGAAAATAAATAAATAATCCAAATTCATAACTAAAATATAAAGACGAATCCTAAGTAGAATCGAAAAAGTGAATAGATTGTTTTTGCTCAGCACGAACAACCTCTAGGTCTAGAACTGAAGAACACCTGAAATATAATTGTGGGTCGGGCTCACAAACAAGTTCTAATCTACTACATCTCAAACAGAGACTCGATACACGTATACATCCTAATTAATTTAATAATAACTAAATAGTTCATATATAGATATATACACACTAAAGGAACCTCACTAGACTATATGGTTGCCTCAACCTAAATAGTAGACAACATGTAAAACGCACATATATAGTGGGCATGAATACCTAGACGTACAAGGGCACACAACTATACTATATATAGCTATACATCATTGGCAATATACATGTCCTAACCACTGATCTTGAGACTCAAGCTCATATCATAGCGTATAATTATATATATAAAATCCGTCCTGTCCAACCATTAAAATAAACTATCCAAATATTGTTTTAATAATTCCGTTCCCTTATAAATATAAATAGGTTGAACTTAACTATTTCGTTAATCCATTCCTAAAGTGCCCCATAATGATGCACTAATCTAAATAATAACCAAATAAAAATTTCCATATCCATATAAAGATGCAAATATTATTATTATTATTTTTTTTACGTCAAATAGTCCAAGTAAACATGATATCAATCATATAAATATCACTTGCATTTAATTGAGTAACAAAAAAATAATAATTATAAGTATCAAGCATTTATTTTACACCATACGAAATTACCATACATCTCAATTAATTATACTCCTCCATAATATGATTAAATTCATTTAAATCCAAACAATTAATTAAAACAATATAATCCAACAATATTTAATTAATTTAACCTTTTAAATTAATTTTCATACTTAGTATGAGTATTTTAAATCATTCAATCCAATTCTTAATGTATCTATTTACACTAAATAAATATTTAATATTGATCCACCAATCAAAAACAACAATATCGGTTTGATATCCCAACATTAATCAGATTAACATTTGAAATATTTAATGCATAACCAATTTTTGTTATATACCAAACTGATTCATTCCTAACCATATCAGTTTGTTATATGTTGTCTCATGTGGTGTGTATGTCTTATGAGGAACACGAAATTTCAATTATAATTATGTAACCAACTTATGCATTCTTAAAGCCTCGTTTCGTGTGCATGCTTTATGCAGAAACGAATTTTGAATTCATATTTATACACAAAACTGATTCATGCTAGTATTAATTCATGTAAAAATAAAATAAATTAAATTAAAAACCAACGCCACCAACAGTGCCCAGTTCAGTAGAAGAGAATAATTAAAACCCATTATTAAAACATGAACTGAAGTTTCTAAATTAATCTATGTAATTTGATTCAATTAATTTATTCAAAGAACCTATAATTAATCTAGCATGCATAGGGTATGAATCAAAGGAGAAGAGAAAAATTAAAAC